AGGTTGAATAGAAGTTATAGTCAGTCAGTTGGACCAAAAAGACAATAAATATATTTTTGATTGTTTATGTCACTGTCTCTATAATGAATGTACTTTTAACACTGTTAAATTTGTCATTTGTTATATTTGACATCCTCATCATTAGTCCAAGCGGGCCATTAAAATCAATCATTAGTGTTTAGCCTTATAGAAGTCTAAAATTTCATTCATAATGGTCTTAAAGAGATCCTAAAAGGTTGAACATTTGAGTTGATGAAACCTGCAGAAACCCTGTCATGTCATATGAAGAAAGTAAGTATTAGTTTAAAGAAGAAAAAAAAACATCATCAGTGCAGAACAAAATAGAATCTACATTTTACTCCCTTTATTAATCTGGGGTCGTCACAGCCGCATGAACCACTAACTTATCCAGCATATGTTTTTTATGCAGCAGATGCCCTTCCAGCTGCAACCCATCTCTGGGAAACACCCATTCACACTCAATTTAGTCTACCCAATTCACCTGTACCACATGTCTTTGGACTGTGGGGGAAACTGGGGCACCTGGAGGAAACCAACGGCAACTTGGTGAGAAGATGCAAACTCCACACAGAAAGGCCAACTGACCCAGCTGGGACTCGAACCAGCGACCTTCTTGCTGTGAGGTGACAGCACTACCTACTGCGCCGCCACGTCACCCTAAGTTTATATGCATTTATATTCATTTTACTTCGAAACAGAACTTAAAATTAATAATATTGATAAATTATACACATACACACACACACACACACACATATATGTATTTCTAATTGGGAGATATTTTCTTTGCACACTTTGGGCTTATTAGTACCAAATGAGCATCATGTCAGTGCCACAACCTACCTGAGTATTGTTGCTGACCATGTCCATCCCTTTTTGACCACAGTGTACCCATCATCTGGTGGCTGCTTCCATCAGGATAATGTGTCATGTCATAAAGCATGAAGCATCTGCTTTCTTAAACATGACAATGAGTTCACTGTATTCAAATGGCCTCCACAGTCAGCAGATCTTAATCCAATAGAGCACCTTTGGGATGTGGTGGAACGGAAGATTCAAATCATGGATGTGCAGCCGACAAATCTGCAGCAACTGCATGATGCTAGCATGTCAATATAGACAAAAATATTTGAGGAGTATTTCCAGTACCTTGTTAAATCTATGCCATAAGGGATTAAGGCAGTTCTGAAGGCAAAAGGGGGTCCAACCCGGCACTAATAGGGTGTACCTAATAAAGTGGCCGGTGTGTGTGTGTGTGTATATTTCTCCCTCTAGTATTCTAGAATACTTCATTTATTAAAGAGCCCCTATTATTCATTATAAAAGGTCATATTTTGGTTTTAAAGGTCGATAACAACAGTCTGATATGCCTGCAAGGTCAAAAAACACTTTCATTGTCTTATAATATGCATTTATTTTTACGTAATTATCCCAACGACTCCCATATGATTCGGTCAGCAATTCATTTATTGCCAAACCCCTCCTTAGCGCGAAGCTAATCTGCGTTGATTAGTTCGATGATCCAGTCTGTTGCGATTGGTTGACTTGTTTAGCATGAGATAGAGAGAACTGCCCACCACCAAAATAACACTAACTTTCCCTCACACTTCAGAGCACAGCGTCTTCACGACATGATTCAACCTGGGATCTGCTACAGCGTTTGACTAATTTCTACAGTGTTTGTAGGCGGGGGTTTTAATTGTTCCTGGTCTGCACACTCAACAAATTGGCGGTGCTTAAGATCCGTATCGACTACACACCGACACGGCTAAAGATTCTTTACATTCCCGGAATTCATTTGAACCACTCTGAGTCGACTCTTTTATAGATGAATCAATAGTTTTAAACCCAGCGCACTTTCAGGTTTAAGCCTTAGCTGGATATTTCACGTCACTTGTTACACTGCATGGAAGGGCATTTTCAAAAACCCATAACAGGGCTCTTTAACTGCACCTAATATTACAAGACATTTAAATGCATACATCTGACTAATAAGTTCAGATCCACTGAGAATTGTCGAGTATCTTCCTAAATGCTGTCCCATATCTGTGGAGTTTCGGAATCAATTTCAAAGATATAAATGTATTTTATTTAAATTGTTTTAGTTTTGGGTGTCAAGAGGGCACCTTTGGTAGCACAATCGCCCCACAGCAAGAAGGTCGCTGGTTCGAGCCTCGGCTGGGTCAGTTGGCATTTCTGTGTAGAGTTTGCATGTTCTCCCAGTGTTCGCAAGGGTTTCCTCCGGGTGCTCCGGTTTCCCCCACAAGTCCAAAGACATGAAGTACAGGTGAATTAGGTAAGCTAAATTGTCCGTTGTGTTTGTGTGAATTAGTGTATGTATGTTTCCGAGTGAAAGGTTGCAGTTGCAAAAGTATTCTCTGCAAAAACATATGCTGGATAATTGGCGGTTCATTCCGCTGTGGTGACCCCAGATTAATAAAGGGACTAAGCCGAAAAGAAAAAGAATGAATGAATGAGTTTTCTTTAAAAATAAAAAATCTACATGCTAAAAAATGTTGTTACTCCAAATATTCGAAGGGCACTGCTTTTCACAGTTATAAATATACTAAATGAAAATGACGAAGAATAAAATGGAACCCAGAAAATTGTGTTGCATCGTCCAAATAAATAGATAGCCTAAATCACAAGATATTTTTTACATATTTTATTGTTTTGGCAAGCAACATTTTCACTTCAACATGAAATTCATCCTGGTCCTGTTGAGGCCGTAAAGTGAACAGACAATGTCAGAGAGTGACGATGTTCTGTGACATCTAAATGTTAGTACAATACCATCCATGATTAATGTAATCATCACAGCAGTGCAAACAAAACTGTTCATCTTCATGACGGTATTCATAAAATCATGCAGTAAAAATCTACCAGTTCAACAACCACCTAATGAAAGATATCAAAAGTAAGAAAAGCAGAGCTGGGAAGTCTCGAGAAATGCTCGATCATGCATAAAGGTAGTGAGACTTTGGCAGTGTTCTGCTGCCCTCTGTAGTCACTACCACACATTGGCTACTAAGAGGGAGAGGAAAGATTGAAAGGAGCTTTTTTTTTTTTTACCGCACTTGCATACATGAATGCATCTCATTCCTGCTCTTCTTCTCCGTTTTCATCATGCATTGGTGCTACATGAGACACGCTTTAAACTTTGAGTCATTCATTTTCCATTGACTTCATGCAGCCCTTGATTATCTTGTCAGTAAAGACGAAACGAATAGGGGAAACGGCATGTTGTTAGTAACCATTACTAATAATGTATCGCGTTACTTCCCATCGCAGAACTCGTTTATGACGTCAATGCACTTTCTTCACGTCTGTGATGATGATCTGTGACATTAATTTGCTTTGCTGTTATTTTAATAGCTTTTCATCGTACTCGTGCTTTTTAAATGACGATTTGTGCTTTAGTGATGAATATCCATAACGCTTGTGCAGATGCCGCAGTTTTATAAGTTGAATGTGCGAGGCGGTTTTGCTTATTTCTCCGTTTGATATGGATAACTGGTATTTCTTAGCTTATTTTTATTTATTTATTTTACATATTTGCTGTTACAAAAACTAGTTTGCAGGGTGATTTGTCTAATTTTTCTTGGCTATTAAATCTGCACCATTACAGACAACGTTTAAAAATATGGTGGGTCGTGAAGCTGCTGTGGTCTGTAAATATAAGCATGTTACATTTGCTTTAACAACTTTGTGTCTGTTGTTAAATGAAACTTTTAGGCTATATGTGAGAGACAAAGACTTATTAGTTACGGTTAGCTTACCTGTGGCTAGTATTATAAGTACTCAGAATCCCCTGTATGTGAGACAGTAGGATAGGAAGCTCTTGTAAATGTGCGTTATGTTGTCATTAATTACTGTCCCCAGCTGCCAAGCATAGTTGCAAATTCTGTCTTGAATTATATATATATATATATATATATATATATATATATATATATATATATATATATATATATATATATATATATATACACACACACACACACACACATGTTTATGTATATATATGTGTGTGTGTGTGTGTGTGTAATTATTATAGGTGTAACGATACACAACATGATACCTCTTTAAGGACATCTTTTCAGGTCAGGAAAAATATAACTGCTTCTTCAACAAACCTTTTACTTGTAAAATAAAAAAGTCAGTAAGTCCTGCTGTAAATAGGTTTCTTACAGTTGTGTGCAGAAGGATAATTATTTTGTTGTTAATTTGGAAAGAGGTTTGAAGTATACCGTCATCTTTAAGTAGATGCACCAGAATCACTTCATGCACAAAACACCTGCCGTTTTTGACTAGCATGCACGCAGATGCTTGTTTAATGAAGTCTGAAGACTCGATCACTTTGCGTTTTTGTACTATGGAAATACTCGTGGGAATTTCAACCGTGAGATGCAAGTTAAACAAACAAATGAAACACATTAGACAGCATAAAATAACTGTAGTTATTAGTTTTAGGATCTCATGATGCTCTTTTTTTTGTCGCCATAGAACCAAACAGACAAGCAAATTTCTGTTCTCATGACAATTCTGAAGTTCCCCTCAGTCCTGAGTCGGTATCACAATTCCAACATCTCATTTCAGACTTGTTTCTAGCTAAGAAAGTCAGAACTGTGAGCTAAAAAGTTTTAATTCCATGGAGATAACAACAAGCTGTCATACTCATTTAGTAGTTAAAATAATGCAGCATTTGTTGGGTACACAAGCTTCTGTTGCGAATGTGTATTACGTTACACCCCTAATACTGTACATCAATGTGTTCTGATTTTCTAGCTATTTCTTCCCTTTCATGTGTTTTTGATCTTTTAAATAAGGATATATAGATGTGTGTTCACATATTTCAAGTTTTTTTTTTTTAGATCATCTGTATATAGTTGTGTATATATTCTTTTCTGTTCTGGCTCAGTAAATATACTAGTGAACTACACAGTTTCTAACATGTCTAAAGTCCTCTGGCTCAGTCGATATATATTAGTGACTTATGTTGATCCCATTTAAAGCGGAGTTCTCTTGATGTGAAAAAGCATTACAGGTGTTAAGAGCTAAAACATATGTACAAGTCATGTTGGGTATGATTTGTTATGTGCAGTGCTACAATTACTGCATTCTTCATTTAAACTCAGAGCGGTCATCATGTGCCTTAAAACAAAACACTTCCTTTAACGTAATGTGTGACTGTGTTTCCCTGATGGTTTATAATGGTGCCTCTGTCACAGTCGAACTCAAAGGTCAAACAATGGTCCTGTGGTTTGGCAGAGCGCCAGAGAGGGAGACGGAGAGGCCGTTGGTCGTGTCATGATGGACAGAGCTTCAAGCTTTTGGCTTGAGGCTTTTTTTAGACCTGAAATGAAACAAAAGGCAGATTGTTACACTGATTCCTCAATACAGAAAGTCAGGATTTGACCATAGCAACTGTTTTTTTACAAGCCCACCTGTGTTATTCTGCCACCGCTACACCTGCACAGTTATCTTTGCTCTCAGAGGTTATAGCTAAATATTCCGCCCTAAGAGAACGGAAGAGAGAGAGAAAGAAAGGCAGAACAACAGAAAAGGCAATGAAGAAGAGAACAGCTTGCAGAAAAACACTGATCAGTTTAGGGTTATATACTTTTGAAGGAAGAAAAGAACTGAAAACTAGAGGCAGAACATCAATCGAGTTTGAGAGCATTGGTTTAGAACAGTGGTGTTCAACCCTGCTCCTGGAGATCGACCTACCTGCAAAGTTCAGCTCCAACCCTCATCAAACACATCTGAACCAATTAATCAGGACCTGAACAGCACTTGATAATTACAGGCAGGTGTGTTTGATATGGGTTGCAACTGAAATCTGCAGGACGGTAGATCTCCAGGAACAGGGTTGGTCACCCCTCTGGTTTAAAAGCACTTGAGGCAGGCAAATCCTCGTTTGAGGTGAACTGTCCCTTTAACGAGGTCAACAGGTGTTTGTTATCAAGGAAAAGCAAGCAGAGAAGAAGAGTGTGTTCAATGGGAATGTGGAGAGTTGAGACTCACTCGCTCTCTCTCAGCGCTTCCTCTCCGGCTGCTGCAATCTTCCTGTAGCAGTAAACCATCTCCACCACCAGCCACAACTGCAGCCCGATAATGGACACGTACATCATCACCTCAGACAAGATTGACGCCATCCCTCGGGTTGCTGAAGGTAGGACAAAGCCCAAATTCAATTTACTAACATATATGTAACCGTGGCTCACAAAAATAAGCCTTGTGCTGTTGGGAAAAGTCATTGTATGAGCAAAATTGTATATATATATTTTTATTTTTTTATTTATTTATTTATTTAATAATAAAAGTGTCATTTGCAGTGTTTTTAGGGGATTGTAATTTTCTCTGCCATTAAAATCCCATCATTATTTTTTCAGTTGTTATTCTTTGCTTCAAATAAGAGTCTGTAATGTGTTTCCCTTTGTAGCTGGTTGGTTTGATTTATGGTTTGTCGGACTTTAACAAAGTTCTTTTATGATCCATATAGAAAAATTACTTCTAGAACAAGCTCTGCTGAAAAAAAGTGAACACCACCACTCTTGATTTTATTGTGTACTATCCCTTTATGAAAAAAAAGTGTTGTAGAATTCTGTTGGGTAAAGATTGTGTCAATGAAGACATTTGGAAACTTCTTTTCATAACTCTATCAAAACTAAAGTACATTAGTAAAGTTCATGATTAAGAAGGGAATTCTGACAAGTTTAAAGGTCCAGTGAAGTGCTCTTGAAATGTGCATTTTTACTCTGTTTGACAAAATCTCAACCAAAACATGAAGAGAATGTGGTACATATAGTGTAGATCCTCCCCTTTAAAAACAAACAGTCAATAGCATTTTGTTTTATTGCGCTCTGCTAGTGATGGTGGTTGAGCTCAAGCCCATCAAACGTGAAGAGTTTTCTGAAGGCGGTGGGCTATGTCAGCAGTGTTGTGCTACTGAAAAATAGTAGTTACACCAAAAAGTAATTCGTCACTGTTAGGGGTCATTTCTGGGTCACTTTTCCAAAGAACATTTTTAATGCTCCTATTAATGCCTTTATATTGTCATGTCAGTGCAGCATGGAGAATACACTGTTGAACAGCTTCACAGTTTTAATTAATTTGCATTTTCAACTAAAACACAAGACAGACTTAAATAAAAAATGAATTTAAGTTAGACCAGCAGCACAAAAATAAATAAAATAGGTGATCAACTAGCTGAATAATATATTCAGAAACAAGAAAGCAAAATTTAAAGCTTGTATTTACTGAGTATGAAAATAGCGACAATATACAACAATCACAAAACCTTATTGAAATAAATCAGGTAAATCATCATTCAGAATCAATTTGGTGAAATTCAGCACCAAAAAAACTGCTGTTATAAGCAACCATATGTTCTATGCATTTTAAGCAAAACAAAAACATAACAGCTGCTCAAAAACAAAATCGATAAGCAATTTTCAAACTAACCACAAAAGAAACGTGATATGTCAACAACCTTTGGAAGTAAGCTGTGCATATTCAAAGAGCAAAATCTGCTGTTGTATAACCGCTATAAAAATATGTGAAACAATAAAAACAGCATTTTTCTGAGCAATATACAACACTATACATTAAAAATAATGTGTTCTGTGTCTACTAAACTAATCAATTTCGTTATTCAGATAACAAATGTGTGCTTATTTATTTAAAACAACAAACATTAGTAGTATTAACAATAGTAATTATTAATAGTAATGTTAATAGTCTCTCTGTCTCTCTCGCGTGCAACCTGTCTCTTGTGTGCACACTTTACTTTTGTCCAATCTGGCTCCTTGTACATGACGCGTCTTCTTTACAGTGGTTGTTTCCTCCACCAAAGATGTAGGCTAGACTGCAGCTAAAATCAATTAATTTACCAAGTAATGAACTAACGTATTATATTGAAATGGTTGATATATTTAAAAAGTAATGTGTATTTTTTACTATCAAAAGTAATGCCGTTACAGTAACACATTATTGCCCAACACTGCATTTCAGATACTAGAGAGCATTTGATGTTCGATTTGATTGTTAAGATTTGATGAGAAACTGAAGTATGAGGTGATGTAAATGTTGATCTATTTTTGCAGAAGTGATAAACTAAAAGCTTTACATGTTTATATCAGTCTTTTATCTACTTTCTACAATAAACGTGAATTTTGTTCATGTTTTGATGCTCAATCACTCATAAATATCATAAAAACAAACAATACTAATACCAACATCTAAAAAAACTTTATTTTCATTTCATGGGATCTTTAAGGGCGATTTTCTGTATTATTTATTTATTTAATGGAACCCTTAGATTCCAGATATTCAAATAGTTTTATCTCGGCCAGATATTGACCATTATAGAATATTAACAAACCATACATCAATGGAAAACTTATTTATTCAGCCATTTGCAAAAATAGACACTTGTGACAATCCAGATTCACATATTTGGTTACATTTAATTTAAGCACATGTCCAAGGATAATTTTAATTTAGTACAAAAAAATACTGTTGAAAGAGAAATAACACAGGGATTTAATGTGTGTTATCAGCATATTTGTACACGTTTGAGCATTTATGATTATGTAAGATAGACACAGTTTCATAATGATTCAGTTGTGACATCAGTGCTGATGCAAGTCTGAATCAGCCTCTGACATGACGTTGCGTCTGATCCAATTATCACTGTAAGCATATGTGATGTGACCGTAGAGATGTTCTCAGCAGGAATACAACACGCATGCTGACTTCTCAAAAGTTTATTTTTGACTTTAAGCTTCAATAAAAATTCTAGTTTAGTTTTTAATTTTTGCATTGTATTAAAATTATAGTTTTATTTAGTTTATAATTTTTATTATGTTTTTTTTATTCTAACAAACTCAGTTTAAAATTGTACTTCAGATTTGGATGTGAAGTCTCTTTTCAAATATTTAAAGACCTTCAATATAGAGCATGTGGCTGTTGAAAAAAACTACAAGGTATAAAAATTTATAAAAGAGCTGGAACATGTACATTACAAGCAGAAACATGGAAGTGTTTCTAACAGGTGTCTAATGCAGAAGAGAGGGAGGAGTGTGTCCTATAATTTATAGTATCTTGTAATTTGTCAAGCCCACTCAACTGTATGGAGTCCACTAAAACAGCACAATACATTTATACCATTTTCTATTAATTTATTCCGCCAAACTCAGTTTAAAATTGTACTTTAGATTTAGATTGGAGCTTTATTGAAGCCTCATTTCAGTCTAAAGGACACATGCAAGCATTTTTCACATGTTCATTTTTTTCAAAGTAGACATTTTCTAATATTTCAACATATTAGTTGATCTCAGTTAACAAAAGGATGAATAGGAACCAATAGTTATAATATATTATTAACCAATAGTTAATAATAGTTAATAATAGTTATAATAGTTAATAATATACTTGTGTATATATGTTAAAGCAGTCCGGATCAAACCCACAGCTGAAACTAATTTAACAAAATAACTGAAATAATTGAATAAAATAAGATCATGGTGTAGAAATGAGCATACCCAATAAAAAAAAAATTAAATACATTTTATCAATTTGTCTTTTTGCAAAACTACATTTGAATTAAAGGGCATTAATTTCACCCATTTAAATTAATTTCCCTTAGTCCCTTATTTATCAGGGGTCGTCACAGTGTAATGAACTGCCAACTATTCCGGCATGTGTTTTACACAGTGGATGCCCTTCCAGCCCACACCCAGTCCTGGGAAACATTAATACATATACTACGGCCAATTAAGTCCATCCAATTCACCTATAGCGCATGTCTTTGGACTCTGGGGAAAACCAAAGCACCCGGAGAAAACCAACGCTGGGAGAACATGCAAACTCCACACAGAAATGCCAACTGACCCAGCCGGGACTTTTCAAACATTCTTCAAAATATCGTACCCCTTTTTGTGTTCAACAAACTCAAACTGGTTTATAACAAGCAAAGCATGAGTAAATGGCAGAATGTTTATTGTTGGCTGAATTTTCCCTTTAATCATGTCGACACAAATCAGAATAAGGCGCTGATAAGATAATCAGGCTGATGGAACACAGAAAATCCTCTGCAGTTCAGGGTGTGTGCATGACGACAGATGAGTCAACACCGAATGGAAGAGTCTTTGAGATGTCAGAATCAAGGACACTGTCGTTGCCTTTACACACAGCCCTCAATGAAAAGTGTTGTCATAGCAGCAGCAGCAGCAGCATGGCTCTTCATCACTGCTCTCCTTGACTCAACAAATAATTCATTTTTCAAAGCAAGTATGGTGATTAAGATTACAATGCACAGATATCATTTATGGCCAGTTATGTGCATTTGTATGCAAACATTTGCTGTTTTTATTTAAATTACATTTATGGGCAGCACGGTGCCTCTGTGGCTCAGACTGTCACCTCACATCAAGAGGGTCGCTGGTTGAAGTCCCGGCTGGACTAGTTGGCATTTCTGTGTGGAGTTTTCATGCTCTCCCTGTGTTGCGTGGTCCACAGTCCAAAGCCATGCTCTATAGGTGAATTGGGTAAGCTAAATTGGCCGTAGTGTATGAATGTGTGTGTGAATGCAAGAGTGTAGGAGTCTTTCCCATTACTTGGTTGCAGCCAGTAGGCCGTCCGCTGCACAAAACATATCCCAGAATAGTTGGCGGTTCATTCCGCTGTGGTAAACCTTGATTACGGAAAATGAATGAATGTAAAAATGGACCTACCATGTCCTACTACGCTGATGGTGATGAACTTGGTGGCGTTGGTGTGGTACTCATAGTTGGGGAAGATGAGGATTCTGTCGAAGAAGCATCGAAAGGTGCCGGTGTCATTGAAGGTGACGTTAAGGATGTAAATTGAGCCGTCCTGCACGTCGTCTGTTTTTTTACTGCCATTCCAGGCCAGGCGGTCTTCAAAGCGCTCGTCTGTTATGCTGGCTGTCATTTCTGCATAAGTGTAGATCTAGTTGTAAGAAAAAGAGCTTTCATCAACGTCTGAGACTGCTATGACAAATAACCAATGAGAAAGGCACCCCAGCAAACATTTTTCGTTTTTAATAGATGTCTAAACATAGTCGTCTTGGCTAAAACAAGGCTAAATATGGGCTGTCAGTGAAAATCGAATAGACTTCTAAGAATAGGCCAAAACAAGTCTATCAAATAAACAGAAATGAATGACTACACATATAATGTCTGTCTAATCGGTCTATTTGACGACTAGTCTAGTTTTGGGCTTTTCTTAAACATCTATTATATTTTCACTGACTGCCCAAATTTAGCCTTGTTTTAGCAAAGCTGTCTACGTTTAGATGTCTGTTAGTCATCTATTAAACACATTCAGTTGTGTTTTTATTTATTTATTTATTTGTTTATTTTTTTTTTATTCATCTGTTATTTTAATACATCAGCATATACAAATACAGTCTCGGCAATACAGTGGGAAAAAATGGGGAAATATGCAAATAAGTAAACAGGATAAAATCAGAAAAAATTATTATTGTAATGCCAAAAAAGTGTCCATAGCTGCCAAAAGTCATCAGACTTTTGAAGTACGCCATAGGTGAGTTTCTTGAGTGGAAATAGCCTACATACTTGAGACAACCACATTTTAAAGAAAGGTACCCAAGGAGATGACAACAATAAAAGTATACATTTCTTTGCCACGTGCGACGCTGTGGCGCAGTAGGTAGTGCTGTCGCCTAACAGCAAGAAGGTCGCTGGTCAGTTGGCGTTTCTGTATGGAGTTTGCATGTTCTCCCTGCATTCGCGTGGGTTTCCCTCGGGTGCTCCAACTTCCCCCACAGTTCAAAGACATGCGCTACAGGTGAATTGGGTAGGATGAATTGTCTGTAGTGTATGTGTGAATGAATGTGTGTGTGGATGTTGCCCAGAGATGGGTTGCGGCTGGAAGGGTATCCGCTATGTAAAAACATGCTGGATAAGTTGGCGGTTCATTCCACTGTGGCGACCCCGGATAAATAAAGGAACTAAGCTGACAAGAAAATGAATGAATTAATTTCTTTGCCACATAAAACGAGATTATAAACAAATGGTTGATGTGGGAGTCCAACAGTCTCTTTTTCAAAAAGACAGTATTTGATTAAGCAAACATGCACACAAAGGGCTCTGTTTTAATGATCTAGGGGCAAAGTCTAAAGTACATGATGCAAAAAGCATTAAGGTCAGGTCCGAATCCACTTTGGCTGAATTTGATCCACTGAATTTAAGGAAGCGACTTTTTGAACTGAAATAAAATGAACTGAAAATTGCTGTTTGACTATTACACATCGTATTTTTAAACTGAACTGAATATTTTGGAACTGAAACGTGGAAGTTTAAGATGAAGTATTAAATTTATAAGTATGAAAATGTATTTTTGTTGAAATATTCACAGCTCAAATAAACTTAATTAAAATAATTGATAATTTCAGGACCCATAAATACAAACCAAATACTTGGCAATTCAAGTCATTCAAACGCAAGCTCGTTATTTCAATGTATTCTTTGTTTTAGTTTGTGCAATTCCACAAGATATTTATTTTAATACTTACATCGGTTTTGTTCCATATTCAAGCCTTTAGCATTTATTATAAATTACATTTAAATTTCTAAGATTTTACACATGGTTTATCTTCTGATATTATTCATTGCAAAACATCTGAGTTAATTATATTGTGTGAAATGAATTTTTTGACTTGGTCTTTATTTCAGAGATTGCCACAGCGAAATGAACCGCCAACTTTTCCAGCATATGTTTTATGCAGCGGATGCCCTTCCGGCTGCAACCCAGTGCTGGGAAACACCCATAAACACTCATTCAGACATATACTCAAACACTACGGCTAGTTTAATTTCTTCAATTCACCTATAGAGCATGTCTTTGGACTGTGGGGGAAACCCAACACTGGTAGAACATGCAAACTCCACACAGAAATTACAACTGACCCAGCAGGGACTCGAACCAGAGACGTTCTTGCTGTGAGGCAACAGTGCTAACTAACCACTGAGCCATTATGCTGCCCAACACATTAACAATCCAAATGAGTAAATGATGACAGAATTTTCATTTTTGGGTGAACAATCCCTTTAAGCTGCACTTTTAATGTGTTTTAAATTCACTTTTAAATTTAATTTTAAAAAGGATTTGAGCAACTGCACATTAATTTAGGTAATCCATGATGTGTGTGTTTGTGTGTGTGTGTGGTGGAAAAAGGCAGCATCTGTGTCTCTGTCACATGAAGCTGCATTGCCTGTTCTTTGTCTCATACTCACGTGTGTGAATTCACTCTCGCCTTTGGCCATGAACCACCAGTCCACCGTGGCGGAGGCAACCACTTCTCCTCTCATCTTGCAAGAGATGCAGGTCAGTTTGAAGCCTTTTCCCGCCACTGCCTCTGTGTCAGAGTCGACCTCCACACACGCTCCATAGCAGAGCCAAGCTGAGGAAAAACAACAGACCTTCAGAAACAGAAACGGTTGTACTGTATTTCTTAAAAACGCTCTAAGTCTTACTGATGTCCACTTTCTGTTTTTAGCTGACAGGCATTAACTCTTCTAGATCTTCTCTTCTTTTTTGCGTGCGTTCCCTTTTTTATTATGATTAATTATTATGCATGCTGTCTTTTTTAGTTCAAGGCCGAGCGTTTTCTTGCAAGCTTTATTTCCACTCATATAAACTGTGCATTAAAATTGTCCAATTGAACTGTGCATTTTAATGTTTGGTTGTTTTGATTCCACAGAAAAATTCTTGAGGGGAAATAAACTGTTAGCAGTGAGCCGTGATCCTTTTATTGACTCAATATTTTCATATATAGATGCATGTTTCTATATATGCCAGGATATATGCCAGACACTTGCAGAAGGGAACACACCTGAGATTCCAGGTATCTTTCTCACACTTCACCCTGCAGTTTCCACAGAAGCATCTGCATCGATCTCAATCAATCACCTTTTTGCAAATCTGACCTCTGGAGAAGTGTTTATATGTGTGCAGTGAGATGAGGGACAGGAAACATCGCACACATCAATATATTACTATTACTACAGCCGTCCTGCTATTTTTTTTATGGATCTCTCTTTACTGTGTTAATCTGGAAAACAAGAGTTATCATTTGCTTTTGATGGCTAAGAGGAAAGGAAGGAAGGAAGGAATGAAGGAGGAAAGAGAAAACATTGGTGGCACACCAACTGGAAGACAAGAGAAGAAGAAAACAAGAAAGAGAAAGGAGACAGAGTTAAATGTTTTTTTCCACATCACATCACTGATTATTAATGACAGATTATTGATTTACTGACTTCTGATTGGCTGTGGAGAAGAGGAAGAAAGGTATATTGGGAAGGAAAGAAAGTTGTTAGCACAGACATCTTACAAGAGGAATGGGATTACACACACTGAAACTCCTACAAAAGCAAATTACTTAAAGAAATCCAAATTACTGCCTAAACCTAATTTTCTGAGACTGAATTCTACACATTTAAGTAAATACTCTAAAAATTAGCATGATTTCTTTCCACATTGCGAATGTTTGTATTTGCTCCACTATTTGTTTGATGTAAATGCATCAACGATAATAAAAAAACAGACGAATAATCAGCACAATATAATTGTAAACAAACACACTGCCTATGTTCATGGTGGCTTAGTTAAAATTGCAGATTTAAATAAATCTTTGGGGGCTTTAGTATTAGTTTGGTCAAAAAGAGATTGTGTCAGACATGAAAAATGCCAGATAATACTCAATACACATTTTTTTGTGTGTTTATTAGCGGTCAGAACATAAGACTTTTAATGATCTAAGCACAAAGTCTAAAGCACATGTCTCTAAAAGCATTAACGGAGTGTCCGAATCCACTTTTGCTAATTTAAGAAACGGAAAAAAACGGTCTGCACCCTGGCGCATGGTCTAACAGGGTTGTGCTTATTCTCTTAATAAGTTATGGGTGTGTTTTGAGCACAACGTGCATTAAACCAATCAGAGTCTCATCTCCCATTCCCTTTAAGAGTCAGTTGTGTCGCGCCGTGGTGCATTTGCTATTTACATGGCGGACTTTGTAAGGGGAAAACCTGAACGCTGCACTAGTGAGAAAACTGTTAAACAGATTATCTGTAGCTCGAGTTATTCAATTTACATATTTAACTGAGTGGTTTCATTTGTGCATATATGACCACATTTGGTATGGTTTCGAGTATGCGGTTTGCAGTCTCTATCATTATAATTGAAGGAGAGATTCGTGTAAATACGAGAATGTTCATTCAGAGAATAGATGAGTGTAAGATCATTCATTTTCCTTTAGCTTTATCTCTGAGTTATCAGAGGTCGCCACAGTGGAATGAACCGCAAACTATTCCAGCATATGTTTTATGCAGTGGATGCCTTTCCAGCCGCAACCCAGTACTGGGAAACATCCATATACACTCACATTTAGGGGAGAACATGCAAAACCCACACCAAAATGCCAACTGACCCAGCCGGGACTCGAACCAGCAACCTTTTTGCTGCTATAGGCAACAGTGCTAACCACTGAGCCACCATTTATAAAGAGATAAATAGGTTTTTTATTTAATGCTGACTTAAAGTGAACATTTGGGGCTTTAAAACTAAATTCAAAATAAGTAGACCATCAAAGGACACCATATAGCGGGAGGGAAGGAGACGATGCTCTTAAGACAGAGGGACAGTATACTGTATGTGCACTACATGCTGACCTCAGACCTGTCAAAAAACTGCCATCTAAACTTCTGTCAATGTCACTGCGACGGCGGGGTCATTACATAACCCTTTTTACAGAGATTACATTATGCAACTTACTCCAGATTAGACTGCACAATGACCGCTTAATCCCAGGATTGAATTAATGCATTAAAGAGTTGAATTAAGCGCTTTATAACATTGGCTGAAATTTTGGCTAAACACTGTAAATCATGTAGTTCCTGGGAACTGAACTCATGACCTTCATGCTGTTTGCACCATGATCTGCAGAACCTCTGACAGAGTAGAAAAGGCCTTTTGGGAGCTGATTCAGGCTTTCGACATGAAAACAAGCTGCCGAGGACAACGTTTCCATGCCAGCCAGCCGTATGGCAGTGACATATACACTCTGGCCTCTCGGGGAAATGGCAAGATCTGTGACAAACAGTGGAGACTTTCCATAGAAACAAAGGCGCTTTAATACATCGGCCAATATGTGATATCATGTCCAGCATTTCAGTCCTGTCTAACAATCACCGCCGTTCACATCTCCTTAATCTAATCTCTAAAATTAATCTACAAAGGACGATATTGTTGGTCAAGGGTGAATGGTGAGCTTCACTGATATTTCCCCAGGCGATCAGATCTGAAGACAAAGCCTTTTCTTTCTGAGCTCCAAGAAACTTGTTTTTTTTGCAATACGCTATTGATGATTGGATAACAAGGACACTCTCTATTATCCATTTTCCTCATGCAACTATAATTTCCTTAACCTCTCAATTAAATGGGTGTAAACTTTCAAGGTGCTATAAAATGAAAATCTGGATATACATGGGCATAGTTTAATAATAAGAGTTCAGTGCATGGAAATGACATACAGTGAGCCTTAAACACCATTGCTTCCTCATTCTCCTGTAAATCCTGTTAGTGTGAAATCCTGGTGAAAAACAGGCCAATTAGAACAAAACAAATGTCTCGGATATTTGACAATGAATCATTAATATGTACACCTCCAGCAACATTTCCTAGTGAGATTACAATAATATCTTTTCCCGCTATTTTCTAAGTTTAAAGGGCATCTTTTGTAAACCGTTTGGACAGAACTGTGTGTAGTTATAGTATGTCCAAAGTCATATTGGGGTGATTTAAACACAACAAGTCTCTTTTTTATTTTTTTATTTCCTGACGTTAAAAATAGGATCCAAATTTTGAGGATGACTGCAACGTGGCGTAGGAGTGCGCCTACCTAAATGATTGACAGTCGTGTATTAACATGTCTTCATAGTAACACGTATACTCATATTAATAAGACATGCACGCTATGTGTGTTTGTGTACGTGAACTTTGTAAGGACATTGTGTGTGACTCATCATTGTTGAAAGGATTGAACTAACTCCACAACAAATACATCAAATAATCATTGGGAAAGTTCTTGCAGTAGTATTTCTCACAAACGTTACGCGAAATCTGCTTCCTTCATGTCTGTCACTGTGCTGTTTATCTGACGCAGCCGAAGTGGAGATTGAGAGACATTCAATGTGCTCCAATATTCTTAAAGCTATTAATAAATAATCTGATTGTTAAACACATCTTACTGTGTTTTTTGAGCTGAAACTTTACAGACATATTCTGGAGAATCAAAAGATTTCTATCTTAAAAAGGTGGTAAAATAGGTGCCCTTTGCAACATCGTTGCTGTAAAAGAAGTAATATGGAATTAAAATGGTCACTGCTATTTTTTGCTGCTATGTGAGCATCAGAGACTAACACGAGCAACAAGAGCATCATGACACATCTCATTAATATTCATGACCCTTCCAAATAAGGTCAAAACAAAAAAATTTCTCTTTCAGGTCAATTCCTAGGGTTGTAAGTTACGTGTAAAATTGTTTCTGGAGTATTTAGGTATTATCTACTTTGTAAAAAAATGGGTTCCACACAATCCCTTAATGTTGTCTCAACACAAATTAAACTAACTTAATTGTTTTTGCAAATTTTAGTGAATTTAACAAAACAATTAAGTTGATCTAAAAAAAAACTCAAGAATTGTGTTTCAGCTCATTTTTAATAAGTAGTTACAACAACTAATTTAAAATGATCAGAATCGACACAATTCTTGAGGTTTTTTGTACAACTTAATTGTTTTATGTTCAATCCAATTTACTGAGTGTATGTAAACATCAGAGAACAATTTAAATCAATTACATCAACGCTTATTATGGCACCTTTAAATATTAAACCAGTGCGAGTCGTTGTTCATCATACAGTATGTTCGCCTGTAAAGATTTAGCGTTCACACTCTCCCTCTTCCTCCCCCATCATCTCATCCTCTTTCCGACTTGCTCACGTGTGCTTTCAGACACACCTTTTCTCAGATGCACATCGGTTTTCCACAACACCAGACCTGTGCATGTACAAAACCTGCGTCACAGCTTTCTAAGGGAGCATGACAGTGCTGGATTTTGCTGAAATCTGCTTAGGATATAAAGACCTCGCTCCTCATTGGTTTGCTTGTTTCTAGGCCTCGGTTTCCAGCCTCTGTTAAATGATTAATAGCCATCTTCCTTCTCCCTTCAGCTTTTCTCGGCTCTACACATTGGTCTAATCAGCAAAACAGCCTTCCTGCCTGTTAATGCGCAGAGCTGCTTTCTTGACAGTTTGCCAGTAGATCCATTATAGATTGGTTGATCAGCTATATGCTTATTAAATCATATTTACAAAACATTTGGCATTTTTTAAAATCATACGCAG